CCAATTACTAGACTGGCCCATATTGTCACATATTTACACAGATTGGTCCTTGGGACTGATTGTCAGGCAGTTGACATGGAGCAGTCAAAAACATTACACAATGCAATCTTGCAAAACAGGCTGAAACATTTAAAATAGACTCTCAGTACTTTTTTCTAAACCACTGCAAGTGAGGTTAAAATCAAAGCCCAAATCAATGTTAGTAATATTGAATCCATTATTAAAACACTGTTCCTAAGCATACGTTTTAGAAAGGTGAGTGATATTCTGACATAAGTTCAACATTTGGTGCACAATATAGTTTACACTTTCTTTCTTTATTAGACGGACATAAGCGGAACACTTATAGAGGATGATTCTATGGGACAGGAGTATACCCCAATAGTTGGTTTTGCTTTGACTTGCAGGTAATCTGTGTTTGAAACGGAGAATATGCAGCTGGTCAATTAGTTCTTCCAGAAACCTAATTTAGTATTGGTTTCAACAAGTTTCAATTCTTACAGTGTTTTAAATGCTACACATCTTATTCATTTAACTTGTAGAGTTGTTCTTTAACAGCTGCATGTATATGACCAAGTTGTGTGATGTAACCATTCTAGCATGAGCTGTGAAGAATAGTAACATATCACATCCAGGGCCATTGATCTTCCTCTGCTTTGGTCCCAAATACTGCTCAAAATGTATGTGTTACAGGCAGACGGTAAGAGATAATGCTTTTCTTTGATTTTTCTTCTAAACACAAGGAGGCATCTTCAGCCAACATCTGCACATAGAAATTTTTCAGCTGCCACTGTGATTTGTGATAATTTTGGTACTCTAATAACCGCTCCGCTGAGCTCGGCTAAGTCATCCTAGGCTCTGCCCTTTCTGTTTTAGTTGATTTAATGCTTTCCCTGGTGTTGACATCATCCACTCAATGAAGAGGCTAATACTTCCTCTCACACACAAGGTACATCTTTATTTCAATTTACTGCTGCCAAATCTAAGCTTCGTATAATTCAAGCATGTATCTGGATTTTCAATACTTGCCCCACTTCTCTATCTCTGACCATTATTGGTTGCCAACTTCCTTTGGTCGAGTTCAGCAAGGTTGGTTGGATTGAGGTTTGCAGGAGGCAGCTCAGGCTGTCAATCAAGGCCTCTTAGGAATGGGGAGTGTTCCTACTATACTCCTTGCCCAGCTAAACATTCCATTTAGGTATACCATTTTGGATAGCGTTGGGGGAGATGGCTCACAAGGGGAAGGCAGCAGCAGCCAGGCTCATGGCACCGTGCTGGGACCGTGGCTGGCTCTGCTGTACAGAAGGACGGGAAAAAGAGTGGAAGGGCTATAGTCGTAGGGGATTCGATTGTAAGGGGAGTAGATAGGCGGTTCTGTGGTCGAAAATGAGACTCCCAAATGGTATGTTGCCTCCCAGATGCATGGGTCAGGGATGTCTCAGATCGACTGCAGGACATTCTGAAGGGGAAGGGTGAACAGTCAGCTGTCGTGGTGCATATAGGCACCAATGATATAGGTAATAAACGGGATGAGGTCCGACAAGCAGAATTTAGGGAGTTAAGAGCCAAGTTAAAAAGTAGGACCTCAGAGGTAGTAATCTCAGGATTGCTACCAGTGCCACGTGCTAGTCAGAGTAGAAATGAAAGAATAGGCACGATAAATGAGTGGCTTGAGAGATGGTGCAGGAGGGAGGGATTCAGATTTTTGGGACATTGGGACCGGTTCTGAGGGAGGTGGGACGATTACAAATCGGACGGTCTACACCTGGGCAGGACTGGAACCAATGTCCTAGGGGCTGCTTTTGCTAACGCTGTTGGGGAAGGTTTAAACTAATGTGGCAGGGGGATGGGAACCAAATGATGAGTTTAGTGGACAGTAAGGAAGTAGTAACTAAAGCCTGTAAGGAACTAGATAAAAAGTCAGTGTGACTAAGGGGAAGAGCAGATGATGGACGCAAAGGGACAGGTGGTCTGAGGTGCATTTGTTTTAATGCGAGAAGTGTAGTAGGTAAGGCAGATGAACTTAGGGCTTGGATTAGTACCTGGGAGTATGATTTTATTGCTATCACTGAGACTTGGTTGAGGGAAGGGCAAGATTGGCAACTAAATATACCAGGTTATAGATGCTTCAGGCGGGATAGAGAGGGAGGTAAAAGAGGTGGAGGAGTTGCATTACTGGTCGAAGAGGATATCACAGCTGTGCCGAAGGAGGGCGCTATGGAGGACTCGAGCAGTGAGGCAATATCGGCAGAGCTCAGAAATAGGAAGGGTGCAGTAACAATGTTGGGGCTATACTACAGGCCTCCCAACAGTGAGCGTGAGATAGAGGTACAAATATGTAGACAGATTATGGAAAGATGTAGGAGCAACAGGGTGGTGGTGACGACAGATTTTAATTTTCCCAACATTGACTGGGATTCACTCAGTGTTAGGGGTTTAGATGGAGCAGAATTTGTAAGGAGCATCCAGGAGGGTTTTCTAGGGCAGTATGTAAACAGTCCAACTCAGGAAGGGGCCATACTGGACCTGGTGTTGGGGAATGAGCCCAGCCAGGTGGTTGAAGTTTCAGTAGGGGATTACTTTGGGAATAGCGATCACAATTCCGTGAGTTTTAGAATACTGATGGACAAAGACAAGGGTGGCCCTAAAAGAAGAGTGCTAAATTGGGGGAAGGCCAATTATAGCAAAATTCGGCAGGAGTTGGGGAATGTGGATTGGGAGCAGCTGTTTGAGGGTAAATCCACATTTGATATGTGGGAGGCTTTTAAAGTGGGGTTGATTAGAGTGCAGGACAGACATGTCCCTGTGAAAATGAGGGATAGAAAGGGCAAGATTAGGGAACCATGGATGACAGGTGAAAATGTGAGACTAGCAAAGAGGAAAAATGAAGCATACATAAGGTCTAGGTGACTGAAAACAGATGAAGCTTTGGAAGAATATCAAGAAAGTAGGACCAATCTGAAACGAGGAATTAAGAGGGCTAAAAGGGGTCATGAAATATCATTAGCAAACAGGGTTAAGGAAAATCCCAAAGCCTTTTATTCATACATAAGGAACAAGAGGGTAACTAGAGAAAGGGTTGGCCCACTCAAGGACAAAGGAGGGAAGTTAGGCGAGGAGTCAGAGAAAATGAGTGAGATTCTTAATGAGTACCTTGCGTCGGTATTCACTGAGGAGAGGGACACGATGGGTGTTGAGGTTAGGGATAGTTGTTTGATTACTCTAGGTCAAGTCAGCATAAGGAGGGCAGAAGTGTTGGGTATTCTAAAAGGCATTAGGGTGGACAAGTCCCCAGGTCCAGATGGGATCTATCCCAGGTTACTGAGGGAAGTGAGAGAGGAAATAGCTGGGGCCTTAACAGATATCTTTGCAGCATCCTTGAGCACGGGTGAGGTCCCGGAGGACTGGAGAATTGCTCATGTTGTCCCCTTGTTTGTGAAGGGTAGCAAAGATAATCCAGGTAATTATAGACCGGTGAGCCTGACGTCAGTGGTGGGGAAGCTGCTGGAGAAGATACTGAGGGGTCAGATCTATTTACATTTGGAAGAAAATGGGCTTATTAGTGATAGGCAGCATAGTTTTGTGCAGGGAAGGTCATGTCTTACCAACTTGATAGAATTCTTTGAGGAAGTGACAAAGTTGATAGATGAAGGAAAGGCTGTGGATGTCATATACATGGACTTCAGTAAGGCGTTTGATAAGGTTCCCCATGGTAGGCTGATGGAGAAAGTGAAGTTGCATGGGGTCCAGCGTTTACTAGCTAGATGGATAGAGAACTGGCTGGGCAACAGGAGACAGAGAGTTTTAGTGGAAGGGAGTTTCTCAAAATGGAGAACTGTGACCAGTGGTGTTCCACAGGGATCCGTGTTGGGACCACTGTTGTTTGTGATATACATAAATGAACTGGAGGAAGGTATAGATGGTCTGATTAGCAAGTTTGCAGATGACACAAAGATTGATGGAGTAGCAGATAGTGAAGGGGACTGTCGGAGAATGCAGCAGTATATAGATAGGTTGGAGAGTTAGGTGGAGAAATGGCAGATGGAGTTCAATCCAAGCAAATGCGAGGTGATGCATTTTGGAAGATCCAATTCAAGAGCGAACCATGTGGTAAATGGAAAAGCCCTGGGGAAAATTGATGCACAGAGAGATCTGGGTGTTCAGGTCCATTGTACCCTGAAGGTTGCAATGCAGGTGGATAGAGTGGTCAAGAAGGCATACAGCATGCTTTCATTCATCGGACGGGATATTGAGTACAAGAGTTGGCAGGTCATGTTACAGTTGTATAGGACTTTAGTTCGACCACATTTGGAATACTGCGTACAGTTCTGGTCGCCACATTACCAAAAGGATGTGGATGCTTTGGAGAGGGTGCAGAGAAGGTTCACCAGGATGTTGCCTGGTAAGGAGGGCGCTAGCTATGAAGAGAGGTTGAGTAGATTAGGATTATTTACATTAGAAAGACGGAGGTTGAGGGGGGACCTGATTGAGGTCTACAAAATCATGAGAGGTATAGACAGGGTGGATAGCAAGAAACTTTTTCCCAGAGTGGGGGACTCAATTACTAGTGGTCACGATTTCAAGGTGAGAGGGGAAAAGTTTAAGGGAGATATGCGTGGAAAGTTCTTTCCGCAGAGGGTGGTGGGTGCCTGGAATGCGTTGCCAGCAGAGGTGGTAGAGGCGGGCGTGATAGCGTCATTTAAGATGTATCCAGACAGATACATGAATGGGCAGGGAGCAGAGGGATACCGATCCTTGGAAAGTAGGCGACAGGTTTAGATAGAGGATCTGGATCGGCGCAGGCTTGGAGGGCCGAAGGGCCTGTTCCTGTGCTGTAATTTTCTTTGTTCTTTGTTCTTTGATTTTCCATCCATTTACTTTTACTTCTGTCGCACCAAGATCTGCACTAGCTAAGTCATAAAACAAAAGCACCCTGTTCCATTCCCTCTCATCATTAAAATTGCAATGGATTAAAAAAAACACAAATCTTTTTCACTTACTTGAAATAGCCTATAATTACAATCGCTATGGTCAGTGAGCAGAGAGACACGGAGTATCCAATGGTGTACATTACATATACCCGTTCAAAGAATTCCTGTTTAAAAACAGAATATATCATCTAAATTTTAAAAACCAATTAATGTTCAGTAAAAAATACATTTTTGTATTTCATCTTTACTAACATATAATTATAAACTCATCTGAAAAGAACATTGCCAAGCCTTTGGGATGAGATCATGCTCCCATCATAAGATCCCCTCACTCAACCTATACCCATCCCAGAGATTGTCAACAAACGCAGGTTTCAACTTTTACTTGTCTATCGCTATTGTCAGACTGCAGAAAAGTGAGACACTCTGTGTAGTTTGTCCATGTTCGGTTCAGTTCTTCAACAAACTTCCACATTCCATCATCGTTGCAGTGGCGATAGGCGAACCCTGAAGGAAAAGAAACACCATGCTATCATTTATTAAGAAATCACTCCAGCCTGAATCGCCTTTTGCCATTGATTAGTGTAGAATTGGCAATAATGAATGAGCAAAGCACAGTACCTTTATGATTAAAATCGTAAATATAATGTGGGCACGGAACAGAAGTGAGCTCTCCTGGGAATCCACTTGGCCAACATGTTAAACCATCCCATTCTGGAATACAGACTCCATCTGAAAAAGATAAGACATAATCATGACAGAGAAAGGAATGGTTGAGTCCAAGGAACATTGAGTGCACCAACCATGATGGCACCAGAGCTTATTAAAGGTCTCTTGTTTTGCTGAGGTCAAAATGGCTTCATTGAATCCAACAAATTAAATAGAGTCTGTTAAGCAGGATTTGAGCACATACTAGGAGAACATACAAGGCACCAATGACTGTTCAGCGTTAGCATTCCTGCCTCTGAGACAGAAAGTAACATATTCAAGTCCTATTGCAGGGCTCTGAGCACAGAAACCTGGCCAGCGATCCTGAGTAATGCTGATAGAGTGCTTCACTGCTGTCTTTCAGTGAGGCCTAATCTTGTTTCTGTGTTTTGTGCTACTTTAATGGGGATGCAGGGTATTTGCCTGAATTCTGTAGGAGCCCCATTCCTCAAATTAATTTGGAATCTCGTCATCTACCTGTGCTCTGATGGAAGTGATAGGCTCTTGCAGGTCAGTTGGAGAACCAGCGAGAGCCCTGTGTCACTTCTTTTCAACAAGACCCGCTATATTAAGCGCCTCTCGGGTATTTAACTGGGCACCAGGGAGCCTTCCCAGCCAGCAGCTGTCAATGCAAGCAGTGCCACCAAGGGAGAGCTGGTTGCTGCTGGTCATGCATCCTGGAAGAGGCCAAGGAACAGTGAGAGTTTCGAGGCAATAATTTAGGTCCTTGATTGGTGATGGGGCAGGAAGTTCTTCCATGATCCTCCCTGCCCCGGTCTTAATCAGGGCAGTCTCGGTATGTCGGAGATAGTAGGAACTGCAGATGCTGGAGAATTCTTCAGTCTTCTGACAGCCTGTGGACCCACATTTCTGAAGAAGGGTCGAGGCCTGAAACGTCAGCCTTCCTGCTCCTCTGATGCTGCTTTGCCTGCTGTGTTCATCCAGCTCTACACCTTGTTATCTCGGTATGTCAGTTAATTATAAAGGAAATACTTCAGATGTAAGAAATATGAAATAAATGCTACAGGGACTCAGGAGCTCTGGTAGCATTTTGGTGAATGAAAGTGTGTTAATGGCATGGATTTTGCTCCCAAGGTCATTCGGCAGTGCCATGAAATCAACCTGTCATCTGGAATGCCAAACTTCAATTCCTGAGCGAAGGAATGTTCACTGGACTCTGACTCACATGACTCATTGCCTACACTTTTGGTTTTTAAATTATTCACAGTTGTAAAACTATTTTCTTTCCTGTTTCTTTCTTGTGTTTGCTTGTACGTGTATGAGTTGCAAAGCTGACCCAGGGTTTGTAGATGTGAATAAATGATACTCTTCAAACATAAGAAAGCTTGCTGCGAATCAGTTTTAAACTGGTTTCACAAACAGAGGTTTGGAAAACATGTCACAGCCTATTTCAAATTACATCATGCTGCTTACAGATAGAAATTGAGAACAATAACTCAGTCTTCCTTACTCCCCTGTCCCTAATGTTTGAATAGAATAAAAGCAAAACAAATCTGAAACAAACACAGGAAAAAACTGTCGCGATTGTAACAAGGTCAGCCAATTGTACCTCAGTGAATGAGTTCCCTGACTGGGGCTGTCCCTGATCCAAACAGGGAGCCCTGGCTGACAGATAGAGGAGTGTCAGAGATTCCTGGCATTCTTAGGCTGACTCTGAAGAAGCTGTACCAGAGTCAGGATTTTCCATCTAAATTAAAGGGTGACTTGGTGACAGGTTGCTGGCCTCTGTGGAGTTATTTCAGTGGCAACAAGAGCAAAGCATGTTCCTGAAGAAACTCACTCGCAACAGTTGTCTTTTAGCAGGGGTAAACATTTCTGGCATCATGCCATTATTTGGGGAGCTTCACTCGTCCAACCCTGCTGTTGAAGACTGGGCCCAGTATGTGGAAAGAATGTTTTTTTTTCTGGGCAAACAACATTTTGGTGGGAAGCTCTTTGGAGGGTCAGTATCAACCGGATAGGCCAAATGGCTTGCTTCCATACTGTAAAGATTCTACGATTCTTCGACATTGGATCAGATAAAAAAATGAGTAATTCTTCTGACAGCCTGTGGACCCGCACCTTTTTTTCTGTTATTAGGAGTCTGGCTTTCCCTGAGGCGCCAGATACCAAAACCTTTCAAGAGTTGACAGATTTAGTTAAGGAATATTAAGAGCCCAAGCCTCTTCTCATTCTGAGATGTTATTGTTTTTATTCAGCAATTCGAGAATCATATTGGGATTTACCTATGACTAGGTGAAGATGACTGGCAGAGGGATATGACTTTAGACCATTTGGTATATGGAGCTAATGATGTAACCATGCAAAAGCACCAACTAGCTGAAGCCCAAATGGACTCCAAACAGGCACTACAACTAGTAAGTGGAGCAAGAACAAAGTTGCTGGAAAAGCTCAGCAGGTCTGGCAGCATCTGTGAAGGAGAAAACAGAGTTAACATTTCGGGTCCGGTGACCCTTCCTCACAACTGCAGTAAGTGGAGCATATGAGTTGCAGGTTAGTTCGATGGACGTGGACACTTGCCAGTCCAACTGGGCTTGGGGAACAGCACTTGAATGCAGGCAATTGCATAGCTTCACTCAGGGCATATCCTGAACAGAGGGACTCTTGTTCAGCCCACAGCAAAACCTCAAAACAAAGCCGAGCTTTGGCCAAATAATTGAAATTTTTTTCAGGATCTGGGCTGGCAAGCAATTGTGGTTGCTGCTAGTATGCAGACAAATGAGTCCTACTAGACCTAAATTTATTAAGTCAACTCATAGATCCGATATCCAGGAGAGTGCATACTCTGGAAAGTCCCACTAAATTTGGTTTGGAACAGTTAAATGGCTTAGCAACATCCAAAATCAGAACCAATCAAAATAAATGTCTGGTTAAATGGTCACCCGGTTCTAATGGAGGTTGCTACCGGTGCAGCCACATCAGTGATTGCAGAATAGTTTTTAACAAAATTTGCTCTGGACTCGAACCCATAAGTTTGACCAAAACCTCTGCTAGGCTGACAACCATTACAGATTAAGGGTAGGACTTTGGTTCTGGTCTCTTACGAAAAGCAGCTGGTTCAGTTACCAGCGACTGTAGTAAAAGGCCCAAGCTTGATGGGGGAGAATTGGCTGACAAATATGCACCTAGATTGGCTCAACCTTTTTCAATTGGAAAATGGCTGCCTGAGTGAAGTCCCAATTAAATACCTGGAAGGTTTTCAGGAAGGTCCAGGAACTATCAAAGGAGTCAAGGCCACTTTGCATGTTGACCAGGAAGCAAGTTCACGATTCTGCAAGGTCTACTTAGTGCCCTTTGCCTTATGGGCACAAGTAAAGGCAGAAATCAGAAGGCCAGAATGCGGAAAAATCATCAAGCTAGTCCAATCAGAAAGGGGAGGCAATGGCTTAGTCATATTATCACTGCACTGTTAATCCAGAGACCCAGATAATGTTCTGGGGACTTGGGTTCAAATCCAACCATGGCAGATGGTAGAATTTGAACTCAATTTTTAAAAAAATCTGGAATTAAGGGTCTAATCATGACCATGAATCCGTTGTCAATTGTTGGAAAAACCCATCTTGTTCACTAATGTCCTTTAGGGAAGGAAACTGCCATCCTTACCTGGTCTGGCCTACATGTCATTCCAGACCCACAACAATGTGGTTGACTCTTAACTACCCTCTAGACAATTAGGGATGGGCAATAAATGCTGGCCTAGCCAGTGACACCCTCATTCCGTGAGTGGATAATAATAAAAAAATTGCAGGATGGGCAGCACCGGTCATATTGATTGTGAAGCCTGGTGGGTTGGGTTCGCCTTTGTTGGGACTTTAAATAAATGGTAAACTGTTTGCACAGCTGGATAAGTACGTAATGACTCACATAAAGGATTTAGACGCAAAGCTGGCAGGGCGTCCATCCTTCACGAAGCTGCACGTGAACCATGCTTACTTGCAACTGTGGCTAGATGAGGTTTTCCAGACATAAGCTATAAAGCATAATGGCTTGTACCAAACTAAAAGACTGCCATCTGGGGTATCGTCAGTCTGTTCAATTTTTCAGCAGATGATGGAGAACATTTTGCAAGGTCTACCTCAGGTGGCCATTTGTCAAGATGATTTTTTATTAACAGGGAAGACCAATAGGGAGCACTTAGAGAACTTGGACATAGTCCTAAGATGTTTCTCCAAGGTGGACGTATGCCTTAGAAGGGAAAAATGTGTGTTCCAGGCACTCCAAGTGACCTACTTGGGCTAAAAAGTCGGCAAGACTGGGTTACACCCATTGGAAGATAAAGTGAGAGCAATCAAAGGTGTCCCAGCTCCCACGTCTGTCCAGGAGCTTAGGTCATTTCTTGGGCTGGTAAATTATTACAGGAAGTTCATACACAACCTGGCGTTCATCCTGGCTCCTTTGTGTCATCTCCTAAGAAATGGTCAGCCTTGGAAATGGTCATGTAACAAAGCCATAGCTTTCAGTAAAGTGAAGCAACAGCTATCATCCCAAGCTGGATTTGGTATTAACATGCAATGCCTCCCTGTATGGCATCAGGGCAGTATTAGCTCATTGGTGGCCCAATGGAGAGGAACGCCCAATAGCATAAGCATCCAGGACTTTGGCTAATGCAGAGTATAAATATGCCCAGAGAAAGAAGGATTGGTATACATATTTAGAGTCAGGAAATTCCACCAATACCTTTATGGATGAAGATTTGTGATAATAACAGACCACAAACCCCTATTAGGTCTGCTTAAAAGATATCACCCATAGCTTTAGGCCAAATTCAGCAGTGGGCTCTAGTACTAAATGTGTATAATTACAAGTTGGAAGGCCATCCTGGAGGCCAAGTAGCAAATGTAAATGCATTGAACCACCTCCCATTGGCAGATACACCACGAATGGTACCAAAGAGTCTATAATGGTATTAAACTGCCTGGAAACACTCCCAGTCAGAGCTAACAATATCAGACTCCAGACGCAGAAAGATCTGGTCCTTGCAAAACTGAAACAATTGGTGGCAA